TCTCTGGTCTCTCTCTCTTGTCTCTGGTCTCTCTCTCTTGTCTCTGGTCTCTCTTTGGTCTCTCTCTGGTCTCTCTCTCTGGTCTCTCTCTCTGGTCTCTCTCTGGTCTCTCTCTGGTCTCTCTCTGGTCTCTCTCTGGTCTCTCTCTGGTCTCTCTCTGGTCTCTCTCTCTGGTCTCTCTTTCTGGTCTCTCTCTGGTCTCTCTCTGGTCTCTCTCTCTGGTCTCGCTCTGGTCTCTCTCTGGTCCCTCTCTGGTCTCTCTCTCTGGTCCCTCTTTCTGGTCTCTCTCTGGTCTCTCTGGTCTCACGGATGGCCACACACTGAAGCAGATCTTCTCATCATTACTGAGACACAAACATAATTAACTGCAGTGAGTTCTTAGCCGCCTCAGGTCTGACTGGTAGGAAATCTCGTCTCAAATTAAAAGCGCTAACGACGTGGCGCGGTGTCACGGCAATGAGGCAGCGGCGCGGAGAACACCACCGCTCTGTGAGCGCCAACTCTGTAATGAGAAGGAGCTGTGGCATTTACATTAATGTCCAATTAGACACGAGTGTGTGTGTGTGTGTGTCGGAGTCTCACAGAGCAGCCGAGTGTGAAGAGGTGTAGGGACAATATGCATTTCTGCCTCTCTCTGGTCTTTCTCTCTGTCTTCTCGCTCTCTGGCCTCTCTCTGTCCTCTGTCTTTCTGGCTTCTCTATGGTCTCTCTCTAGTCTCTCCATGGTCTCTCTCTCTGGTCTCTCTATGGTCTCTCTCTCTAGTCTAGGAGTGTGACAATATATCGATTTTTCGATATATCGCGATACTTTCTCCAGCGATCGATTATCGATATGCATTTGCCAAGTATCGGTAAAAAAAAAAAAAACAAAAAAACTTAATTTTTTCTTTCAATTTGTTTATTTATTTTTTATAATTAGTATTAATACTTAATATATGACTACATTACACATCTCCATTCCATTTATCATGACATAAAGTGTATTTTTTCACTTAACATTTTTCTATTTTTATGTATATGTGTATTTATATTGGCATATGGTATATTGCTGATCAAAATATTGATAATCGTCATATCGTGATATAATCGTCATATCGTGATATAATCGTCATATCGTGATATAATCGTTATCGTGAGCTTTGTATCGCGTATCGTATTGTATCGTAGAGTAGGTACCCTATTCTAGTCTCTCTATGGTCTCTCTCTATGGTCTCTCTCTCTGGTCTCTCTCTGAGCAGCCGAGTCTGAATAGATGTTAGTTAGTATGTGCCTTGTACCAGTCGCCTGCAGGTCTCTCTTTACAAACCCTCAGTGAGTGTTTGTTATAGCGACGCCACTGAGGATTTTTGTATCCTATAATTTATTCATGAGAAGAAAGAATGGGAGCAATTTGTGTTTCTCCAGTTTTATAATTTGCCGTTTGATGAAGTAGAAAGAAGCCTCAGGGAATCCTTGTTGACTAAATAAGACGATGAGTCTCATTTAGCAGCAGAGAATTACAAATGTAACAGTATTTAGTGCTTGGTTGAGCAAGAAACTGTAGGATTGACCTGAATACAAGGAAACCACAACAAATATTTTAATCTAATCTTACGGGCTGTAAAAAAGACCATAAGGAGACCAGAGAGAGACCAGAGAGAGACCAGAGAGAGAGACCAGAGAGAGGCCAGAGAGAGAGACCAGCGAGAGACCAGAGAGAGGCCAGAGAGAGAGAGAGCAGAGAGAGACCAGAGAGAGAGACCAGAGGGAGAGACCAGAGAGAGAACAGAGAGAGACCAGAGGGAGGCCAGAAAGAGACTAGAGAGAGACCAGAGAGAGACCAGAAAGAGACTAGAGAGAGACCAGAGAGAGACCAGAAAGAGACCAGAGAAAGGCCAGAAAGAGACTAAAGAGAGACCAGAAGAGAGACCAGAGACAGACCAGAGAGGGAGACCAGAGAGAGACCAGAGAGAGAGACCAGAGAGAGAGACCAGAGAGAGAGACCAGAGAGAGGCCAGAAAGAGACCAGAGAGAGAACAGATAGAGACTAGAGAGGGACCAGAGAGAGACCAGAGAGAGAGACCAGAGAGAGACCAGAAAGAGACCAGAGAGAGGCCAGAAAGAGACTAGAGAGAGACCAGAGAGAGACCAGAGAGAAATGCATTATTAGGCTAGGTTTCTCATCCATGTGGAGCATTAGGTGCAGGAGGACCATGGATACCACACATCTATGGTTGTGTCATATTAAACTACTCAGAATTAAAATAACACACAACTTTCTCCAATCAGGACTCTGTGCAGGCGAATGTTGTTCTTTGAGAGGGTCCTGGTCCTAGTCCTGGTCCTAGTCCTGGTCCTGGTCCTGGTCCAGGTCCTGACCTCTGGGTCCTGGTCTTCAGCAGATCTGGTTTCTCGCTGAGTGAACTGTGTTGAGTATAATGGTCCCATGACCCTCTCCTCCTGTTGTTTATGTCTGAGAGCTTGTGTTTGGACTCTTACTGCTGCCACATGCAGAGAAGGGACCCCTCACACACACATGTATACACAAACATACACAATATACACACTCACACACATATATAAACACTCACACACACACACATACAGTATATACACAAACAAACACACACTCATTGAAATAATTACCAATTTTGAATTATTTATACTGTACATAAATATGTTTTTCTCATAGACTTTAACTGCAATAAAACACTTCAGACTCTTGTGTCTCTCTCCCTGGTCTCTCTTTGGTCTGTATCTGGTCTATCTCCCTGGTCTCTCTCTGGTCTATATCTGATCTATCCATCTGGTCTCTCTCTGGTGTGTATCTGTTCTATCTCTCCGGTCTGTATCTGGTCTCTCCCTGGTCTGTATCTGGTCTCTCTCTGGTCTGCATCTGGTCTCTCTCTGGTCTGCATCTGGTCTCTCTCACTGGTCTGTATCTAGTCTCTCTCTCTGGTCTGTATCTAGTCTCTCTCTGGTCTGTATCTAGTCTCTCTCTCTGGTCTGTATCTAGTCTCTCTCTGGTCTGTATCTAGTCTCTCTCTCTGGTCTGTATCTAGTCTCTCTCTGGTCTGTATCTAGTCTCTCTCTCTGGTCTGTATCTAGTCTCTCTCTCTGGTCTGTATCTAGTCTCTCTCTCTGGTCTGTATCTAGTCTCTCTCTGGTCTGTATCTGGTCTCAATCTCTCTGGTCTGTATCTGGTCTCAATCTCTGGTCTCTCTCTCTTTATATAAAGTACATATAGGCAGTGCCTTGCGAAAGTATTCGGCCCCGTTGAACCTTTCAACATTTCGCCACATTTCAGGCTTCTGTGGCTTTTGGCCACAATGCAAAACGATATGTTTGGCGTAAAAGCAACACAGCTCATCACCCTGAACACACCATCCCCACTGTCAAACATGGTGGTGGCAGCATCATGGTTTGGGCCTGCTTTTCTTCAGCAGGGACAGGGAAGATGGCTAAAATTGATGGGAAGATGGATGGAGCCAAATACAGGACCATTCTGGAAGAAAACCTGTTGGAGTCTGCAAAAGACCTGAGACTGGGACGGAGATTTATCTTCCAACAGGACAATGATCCAAAACATAAAGCCAAATCTACAATGGAATGGTTCACAAATAGACGTATCCAGGTGTTAGAATGGCCAAGTCAAAGTCCAGACCTGAATCCAATCGAGAATCTGTGGAAAGAGCTGAAGACTGCTGTTCACAAACGCTCTCCATCCAACCTCACTGAGCTCGAGCTGTTTAGCAGGGAAGAATGGGCAAGAATTCCAGTCTCTCGATGTGCAAAACTGATAGAGACATACCCCAAGTGACTTGCAGCTGTAATTGCAGCTAAAGGTGGCGCTACAAAGTATCAGCGCAAGGGGGCCGAATAATATTGCAAGCCCCACTTGTCAGTTTTTTATTTGTTCAAAAAGTTTAAATAATCCAATACATTTCGTTCCACCTCACGATTGTGTCCCACTTGTTGTTGATTCTTGACAAAAAAAAATATTTTTATATCTTTATGTTTGAAGCCTGAAATGTGGCGAAATGTTGAAAGGTTCAAGGGTACTTGCGAAGCCTTTCGCAAGGCACTGTATCTTTCTCATAGACTTGACCCACAAAATAAAACTTGTCAAAACTGCTCAAAACAAGTGATAATTCTACTTTTAAAACCTCCACTTTCTTATGTCTCTCTGGGATCTCGCTGAGCAGTTTGTCTAATGAGGCAGAAGTCCATACAGAAGCAGAACGTACACAAACCAGCGGGGCGCGTACACACAATCAAAAACACGCTGCTAAAAGGGTCAGATGAGAGGGAAAACTACACATGGAATCTAAATGTACAGGAATGTTTATGTTAGAACCAGAGACTTATACAGAACGATAAAGCTCTGGTCTTTCTGGGTTCTCTCTGGTCCCTTTCTGGTCTCCCCCTGGTCTCTCTTTCTGGTCTTTCTCTGGTCTCTCTCTCTGGTCCCTCTCTGGTCTCTCTCTCTGGTCCCTCTCTGGTCTCTCCCTGGTCTCTCTTTCTGGTCTTTCGGGTTTCTCTGAGGTCTCTCTCTGATTTCTCCCTTGGGTCTCTCTCTCGGTCTCTCTTTCTTGTCCTTCTCTGATCTCTCTCTGGTCTCTCTGTTGTTTCTCTGGTAACACTCATCATTCTCTGGTCTCTCTCTCTCTCACTCTGGCCTTTCCCTCCCTCTCTGCTCTCTCTCTTTCTGCTCTCTCTTGTGCCCTTTCTTTCCCCCTCTGGTCTCTCTCTCTCTGGTCTCTCTCTCTGCTCTGTCTCTCTCTCTTGCCATTCTCTCTGGTCGCTCTCTCTCTTTCTCTTTCTCTCTCTGGTCTCTCTCTCTGGTGTGCTGCGGCTATAGAATATAGAATCCCTTTTCGCAAAATAAGTGTCTTTTGACCCTTTTATATCAGCACATTCCTGTCGTCCCCGTGGCAATACGTTGACACCAGTCTAACCAACACGCCAACCTTTCTCACTGTTGACCCGAGGGAGACTCCCGAGCATCAAAACAAAACTCACAGGCCAGCAGAGACTGATAGTACTGCACCAGGTCTGAGGACAGGACCAGAGGATGCTGGGAGCTGAAGGGAGGCTGCAGCTCGTTCCACTGCGGCGTCCTGGAAACACAAATTAAGAAAAAAAAAAGATTTGACACATTTTTGTTTTGTTACTTTGTGTCGTCTTCATTCACTTTGTTGATCTTACGTTGCTTAGCGACAGACTCTCTCTATAATAATAACAGTCATATTTCACATATTTTAATATTGCTAATACTGGATTGAAGAGGGGTTGGATGAAGCGGAAGTGTAGTTTATCCCATCCCCGTCTCAACGATTCAACACACAATAACACAGACAGAGAGTGACCAGAGAGAGAGAGAACAGCGAGCACAGAAAAAGAGACCTGAGAGAGACCAGATAGAGAGAGAGAGAGAGAGAGAGAGAGAGAGAGAGAGACCAGGGAGAGACACCAGAGAGAGAGAGAGAGAGAGAGAGAGAGACCCTGTGATGGTATCGGATGACCCTGTGGTACCTGGTGAGGGACCAGCAGGAGCGAGGGCAGCTGCTGAGCTCCAGGGGAGAGTCGTCGCTGAGTTTGGTGATGGTACTGAGGGGTCTCGGCTCCAGGACGTGCTCCACCAAGTTTCCATAACAACTGAGGATGTAGAGAGAGTCCACCACGGCCTGCCGCGACGCATCTGAGGAGGCAAACACAGGGGATGAGCAGAGGCTCTAGTCCAAGCTCCTGGGCCAGGACCGGTGCCTCTACTGTGGGAGAGGATAAGGCCATCATCCAGCTTTCAGATTTGGAAGTGCTGTTATACCACTGGTCCCTCTCTCTGGTCCGTCTCTCTGGTCTCTTTCTTTGGTCTCTCTCTGGTGTCTCTCTGGTCTCTCTCTGGTCCATCTCTCTACTCCAGTCTCTGTCTTTCTCTGTGTGTCTCTCTCTCTCCCCTCTCTTCCAGCCCCAATCTATCTCTCTCTCTATTTCTCACCTCTCTCGCTCTCTCTCTCTCACTGCTCCATTCTTTCTCTCTCTCTTTCTCCCTCCCCTCTCTCACCTGTATATCTCTCTATCCCAACCCTCCTCTCTCTCACTCCCTCTTCCTCTCCCCTCTCTCTCTCTCTCTCTCACCTTTGTGTGTCTCTCTCTCTGTTCTTCCCTCTGCCTCTCTCCCTCTCTCCCTTTCTCTCTCTCTTTCTCTCTCCCTGTCTCTCTCTCTGTTCCTCTCTCTCTCTCTCACTCTCTCTCTCTCTCTCTCTCTCTCACCTTTGTCTCTCTTGATGTTGGGGTTGCTCATGAACCAGGACCGTGACGAGGCGAACAGCGCGGCCACACAGAACTCTCCTCCGCTGGACTTACTCGGCGAGATCTGCGGAGGAGGCTTCGATTTACTGCAACACACAAACGCTAAAGTGAGACAACATTTACAAACACACAGTTCAAAGTGTGCGTCTGCGAGCTGTCACGGTAACCACGACTGGCAGCTCAACTGGTGTCAAGGTGAAGGCGGAGAGGAGAAGGGGATTCTGGGGGAGTTTCAAGAGTGAGATTAAAGCTGGGATGCGTAACTTGTGAGCGAATATGACCAAAGTATGCTGTCGTTATCCTATGTGTGAACTTTTGTCCCTATGGTCTCTCTCTTTCTGGTCTCTATCGCTCATGACGTTCTTGTCCTTCTCCCTGGTCCTTCTTGTTTCTCTCTGGTCTCCCTCTATGCTCTAAGATCTCTCTCTCTTTGCTCTCTCTCTCTATGGTCTCTCTCTCTTTCCCGATGTTGTCTCTATTGCTCTCTCTATGCTCTTTCTCTTTCTGATCTCTCTTTGCTCTCTCTCTCTATGGTATCTCTCTCTTTTGCTTTGGTCTCTCTTTTCTGATCTTGTCTCTTTTTTTTACTCTCTAAGCTCTTTCTCTTTCTGATCTCTCTTTGCTCTCTCTCTCTGGTCTCTCTGGTGTCACTCTCTAGTCTCTCTTTCTCTCTGATCTCTCTTTCTCCATCTTGTCTCTTTCTGCTCTCTCTTTGATCTTTCTCTTTCTGACCTCTCTGACTATGGTCTCTCTGGTCTCACTCACTCATGTCATCCCTGAGAGTCCCTATTTGCCTCTTTGGGCTGAGAGCTGATTGGCTGAGTGATGGTGGTCCTCTCTTTGTGAGTGAGGGTCAGAGCAGGGTCAGAGCAGGGTCTGGGCTTTTATGGGGGAGTTTTTGAGGGTGTCGAACCCAATATGTTCCTCATTTAGGAAGTGTGAGGACTGGCAACGACGTGACTTTGGCTTTTGATACATTTCTGTTGATTTGTCGACCGTGACTTCTGGATTACATCATCTGCTTTGCTCTCCTGGTTTTCCAAAGAACATTTTCCCATAATATTTCTGACAGAATCACTATGAGGCAGGATTAAAGCTGGGGTCCGTGACTTTCAAACCACAAAAAGTTACACATTTTCAGATGTTTGTGGTTTTTTTAGTGTTTGTAGATGAAATGTTTAGACCGAAAAGGCAAAAACAGACCTGTAATAGACACTCCCTTTCTGGTCACCCTCGTTATGTGTTATTGTGGTCCCATTGTTCTGACCTGGCCCTGTTAGACTGGACACTCCCTGTCTGGTCACCCCTCGTTATGTGTCATTATGGTCCCATTGTTGGCCTGGTGACTCACGCTTTTGAAGTGAATGATCCAGACTCTTTTGATCGAGGGGTAAAGACACAAAAGATAAACGTATGATACTTTGTAGCGACTTGGTTCTGAGTTGGTTTGGGTTTAGAGAAAGTTTAGCCCAGTGCTTTATTGTTAGTGTCAGAACTGACTACAAACCACACGTGTAATTAAATAATTTGTGAAGCCATTTCTTATCTCTCTGGTCTCTCTTTCTGATCTCTTGGGTTTCTCTATGGTCTCTATAGTCTCTCTCTAGTCTCTCTCTGCTCTCACTTTGGTCTCTCTCTTGTCTCTGTCTACTTTCCCTCTCCTCTCTCTAGTCTCTCTCTGGACTTTCCCTGGCCTCTCTCTGCTCTCACTCTGCTCTCACTTTGGGCTCTCTCAGGTCTCTCTCTGCTCTCCCTCTCCTCTCTCTCTGGTCTCTCTCTGCTCTCTCCCTGGTCTCTCACTCTGCTCTCACTTTGGTCTCTCGCTGGTCTCTTTCTGGTCTCCCTCTCCTCTCTCTCTCTGGTCTCTCCCTGGTCTCTCTCTCCTCTCCCTGGTCTCTCTCTGCTCTCTCGCTCCTCTCTCTCTGCTCTCCCTCTCCTCTCTCTCTGGTCTCTCTCTCCTCTCCCTGGTCTCTCTCTGCTCTCTCGCTCCTCTCTCTCTGCTCTCCCTCTCCTCTCTCTCTGGTCTCTCTCTCCTCTCCCTGGTCTCTCTCTGCTCTCCTGCTCCTCTCTCTCTGGTCTCTCTCTCCTCTCTCCCTGGTCTCTCTCTGCTCTCCCGCTCCTCTCTCTCTGCTCTCCCTCTCCTCTCTCTCTGGTCTCTCTCTCCTCTCCCTGGTCTCTCTCTGCTCTCCTGCTCCTCTCTCTCTGGTCTCTCTCTCCTCTCTCCCTGGTCTCTCTCTGCTCTCCCGCTCCTCTCTCGCTGGTCTCTCTCTCCTCTCTCTCTGGTCTCTCTCTGGTCTCTCTCTCCTCTCCCTGGTCTCTCTCTGCTCTCTCCAGTTCCAGCCATAACACTTCACATCAAAACACATGTAGTTGTATTGAAAGCTGTTGTGTCCAGTGTTCTCCCGGGACAGGACCCCGGCTCCTGATTGTTCCCATATGAAGAGTTGGAGCTCAGCCTCCCCCCGACCCCCCCCTCCCCCTCTGTCCTGACGTGAGCGATGATCCAATAGAGTGTGTTCTGTGCTCAGATGAGGGATCAGCTTTCATATTATGAACATATGGTTTTTCAATGTTTAAAAAAGTATTTGTTGAATTCACAGTTGAACCCAATGGCTACATTTATAGATATAAATGGGAAATTAGACTTTTGGTTTTTCTCTATTCTCCCTGGCCTTTTTCAAGTCTCGCTGGTCTCTCGCTGGTCATTCTCTCGACTTTCTTTCGTATTTCTCTGGTCTCTAACTGGTCTCTCTGATTTCTCTCTTTCTCTCTCTCTTTCTCTCTTATCTCTTTCTACCCTCTTTCTGGTCTCTTTCTAGTCCCTCTCTCTGGCCTCTCTCTAGTCTCTCTGATCTCTCTGTCTCGTCTCCCTCTAGTTTCTCTCTCTCTCTGATCCCTCACTTGTCTCTTTCTGGTCCCTCTCTCAACTACGGTCTCATTATTTTCTCATAAAGGTGTCTAGAAGTGGTGACAGCATTCTATATTTCACTTATTTTAAGACACTTTCTGGGACAAACAAAAATGTAGGGTTAATTATGGAGCTATTATTGTTTCAATAATATTTGTGTGTGCGTAAACAGATTTGTGTGTGCGTAAAAAGATTTGTGCGTGCGTAACCAGATTTGTGCGTGCGTAACCAGATTTGTGTGTGCGTAACCAGATTTGTGTGTGTGTAAAAGAAATATTTGTGCGTGTGTACTGTAAATAGATTTGTATGTACGTACCAAGATTTGTGTGTGCGTAAAAAGATTTGTGTGTGCGTGGAAAGATTTGTGTGTGTGTAAAGAAAAGAAAAAAGTACGTTTTACACACAAGTTTTTTTTTTTACACACGAATCTTTTGACGCAGTCCTGCCCTCGCAGATTCGCAAGTGTAACTTGGACTTTGTGCGTGCGTAAACAGATTTGTGTGTGTGTAATTTGACATTTGTATCTGTAGCAGAACAATCTGTGTGTAAATAACCACGTTGTACGAAGAGAAGAACGAAAAAAGCCTAATGCTGCGTTCAGACCAAACGCGATTTGGGCGGCGAGAGCGTCAGGATTACATTGACAATACATGGGGGACGCGCTTCAGGGAGCGGCGAGCGATCAAGCGGCGCGGCACGACCGGCACGCGCGGCGAGTCTTCAAGCGTTTTGAGCGATGTGAGCGGTGGACGCGATGTGAGCGGCCGACGCTGGAGTTGAACATTGTTGAACTTTTTCGCTCAGATCGCGAGCGTCGACCAATCAGGAGCTTTCTCCAACAGAGACCAAGTGACGTCACGACAGGAGAAGACAAACATTCTACAACATGGAGGAGAAGCTGGTTGTTGCTGTCGCCGCTCACTCCGAGCTGTACAACCCCGCGGAGTACAGCTACCGTGACAGGCCAAAAAAGGACCTTGCTTGGAGGAGGGTTAGTGAGGATATTGGTGTCCCGGGTAAGTTTTCTCTAACTTTTACAACAGTATGTTTCCCCGCTAGAATTCTGTAATGTTCGAGCAACTACTAGCTTCCCGCTTACTTTCCCGCTCATGTTTTGATTCAGTGGATGTATGCAAAAGGCGGTGGAAGAGTCTGAGGGACACCTATGCAAAGGAATGCAGGAAGGAGAAGGACAGGAGAAAGAGTGGTGCAGGAGCAGGGACAGCGCAGCAGTGGAAGTTCCTAACGGTCATGTCCTTCCTCGAGCCCTTCTTGTCTCCCCGTGAAAGCTCGGGCAACATGGCGAGGCGAGGGGCCGAGGAGGAGCCGGTCGTAGGGGACGACCACCCAGGAGAAGCAGCAGCAGCAGCAGGACTGTCAGGAGGTGAAGGTCTGTGTCATGCAGCAGACCTCAAACACCAATTATATCGTGTTTTTACCTCCATTTTGCTGGCTTTTACTTATATATTGATTTCTATTAATTAACTTATTTGACAGTTTGTTTTTAAATGACAGCCAGGTGAAACTAGGCTTTGCCTGTTATTTTTAAACAATTTTTGATCATGTGTGATGTGAAACTTCACTGTTCCCTTTCAAATGAACTAATGTAATGTATAAACCTCAACATACACATGCTATGAAATAACTGTTTGTTTTGTTCTTGCCTGACAGACAACACCACTCAAGGCTCAGATAACCCTTTGCCTGAGCCTCCTGGCTGCTGCTGCTGCTGCTGCTGCTTCTTCTGTGAGGGCTGACGCTTCCCCTGCTTCTGCACCCACAGGTATTTTTTAAATTCTTAATATTACAGGACAGTGTTACTGCATAATACACCAACATTGTCCCAAAGGCTATTATATCACTATAGACCATAGACAAATGTACAGTGAAACCACAAGATGTCAAGGCACTACAGATGATGAGCATTTGTGCTTTGACCTGATCCAATGTATCTTTACTCGATAAAAACATAACACTAAAATACCACATACAAAAATGTACTGAACAAATACATGCAATGGTTGCCACAAGATGACCGCTATAGTGTTTGATGCTATCTTTATATTTTGTGGCGAACTATGTTTGACTTGTCAACATTCTCATGTCCCTGTGTTCTTTGAAGGCCCACAAAGGAAGAGAGCTCGGCAGAGGCCCACGACCTCAGAGCCGGCGGAGTGG